ATCATCAACCTATCCAGTCTCTCGGGCTCTCAGAAATCATGATAAGCAGCCCAACAACAATGATATGATACATCAATAATGAATAAGAAAGACTGAGGTAAAAATGTGCAAATAGAACTGTGACTGAATGCAAAACAGCAATTTAGAAAATAATTTCACAAGTATACGACCTTTGTGGGTCCCAACAGTGTAAAAATATAATTTAAACATGATTCATAGATCAATTTCTCTAATACGGGAAAAACATGTACGGATATCAATATATTTTTCCAACTACACAGTTCCATGGAATTGATCAAGTCATAATTCCTACGGTGCACGCCCACACGCCCGTCACCTAGCATGTGTGTCACCTCAAAACCAATCAGATAATATATATTCCGGGGTTTCATACCCTCAGGACCAAATTTAGAACTATTACCTACCTCAAGCCGTGTAATTCTTTATTCTGCAATGTCTTTTCCACGTCAATTGGCCTCCAAACGCCTCGAATCTAGCCACAAATAATTCGATTCAGTCAATAAAATTTATTAGAATTAATTCCATAAAAAAATACTAATTTTCCAACAAAATCCGAAATTTAGCTCAAAATTTGCTCGTGGGACCCACATCTCGGAATTCGACGAAACTCACAAAATCCGATAACCCATTCAATTACGAGTCCACCCGTACCAATTTTATCAAATTCTGATAATAACTCGGCCTCCAAATCTAAAATTTCCGTTTTTGAAAGATTTTGCAAAAATCTCAATTTCTTCCATTTAAATCCGAATTAAATGATGAATATATCCATGGATTTATGAAATATAATCACTTATGGATATAGGACACTTACCCAAGTTGAAGTCTTGAAGAAATCCTCAAAATCGCCCAAGAACCGTGCTCCAAAAATCCAAAACGTAATGAAGGAAATGACCATTTTTGGTCCTTAAGTTTTCGCCAAAAAAGCACTATTATGGTCGCTAAAAGTCCAATCTCGTCGCTAAAAGTGTCAAATTTGGTCGCTAAAGGTGCGCATCAGAACTGTTTACACCAGCAGTTTTGTTTTCACTAAAAAGGCTCTAACTCCATCATACGAACTCGAAATTTGACGATGTTTGTTCCTATGAGTCACAAATAATAATACGAACCTACTCATTTAATCGAAACTCAATTCGGAGCTCATTTGCTTGATGCGATACCAATTTTGCTCTTTAAACAATTAACTCATGTTTCGCGCTAAAAACCCAACCGCGGCTTGATGGAATTAGATCAAACTTTCCAGATCACTCATATAATTCATTATCAAAATCTCGGAAGTCTCGAAATCAAATTTCGATCTCTAGAACTAAAATGGATCTTTGGATCATTACATGCTTATGCTCAAAACATCAAACTCTTCCAAAACTCTTCCCCGATAGTCTGTAGTATATCAACCATAACTTCTTGTACTCAACTCGAACTGCCAAACGGTTTAAATTTATGAAAACTAGATACAAAGGACTACAACTTTCATGTTTTGCTCATTGCGTAACTCCTTATAGATTGCGAGATATAAGCTCCTAAAGTCGGCTCCACGCATCAAAAATTCCTGGCGAAATAGAAATTTCTGGCGAAACTGCTTTACTAACCTTCATTCAGTCGATCATAAGTTTCTGTACAAATATCCAAATGATGAATGGTTTAACTTTCTGAAAACTAGAATCAAAGAGCTACAACTTTCATGTTTTGAAACTTTTCAGTTTCCTTATAAATTTTAAGATATAAGCTTCCAAAATCAGCTCTGCGATTACACCAGTTGCTGTCCAAAAACAGCTTCTGCAACAGAAAAATTCCAGCAGCTCTTTTTGTCCGAAATCCATTCCGTTAACCTTCCGAAATTCACCCGAGGCCCTCGGGACCTTAACCAAATATACTAACATGTCCCAAAATACAATACGAACTTAGTTGAGGCTTCAAACTATGCCAAACAACGCCGAAATTACGAATCACGCATCGAATCGAATTATGAGTTTTCAAATCTTCCAACTTCTATATTTTGCGCCGAAACGTACCAAATCAATTCCGATTGACCTCAAATTTTGCACACAAGTCATAAATGACATAATGGATCTATAAAAAATTTCAGAACTGAATTCCGATTCCGATATCAAAAAGTCAAGTCCCCGGTCAAACTTCCCAAAAATTTAACTTTCACCATTTCAAGCCTAATTCCTTTACCGACCTTCAAATAATTTTCCGGACACATTCCTAAGTCCAAAATTACCATACGGAGCTATTGGAATCATCAAAACTCTATTTCGGGGTCGTTTACACATAAGTTAACATCCGGTCAACTATTTCAGCTTAAGCTTCCAACATGAAATTCATTCTTCCAAGCTAACTCCGAAATACCTTAAAACCAAAATCGACAATTCACACAAGTCATAATACCTCGTAGGAATTATTCAAGACTTCAAATAGTTGAAAGGAGCGTAAATGCTCAAAACAACCGATCAGTCGTTACAGATACATATCCCTAAAAATAGGAGATTGATTAATTCAACTTTCTCTTAACATTCTATATTATGAATCGATTCGCTGTGTTATGTCACATATACAATTTGTTTACTCTCTCAATAACATATTCCTACCTTTTGGTGTGAGAGCAAATGTCAAGCTAAAAAGTATCAGTCAATTTTTCATTATCGTTAGTCCACAAAATACTACGTTAAGAGTTGAGAATATCAGAAAGTAATACAATTTTCTAAGTTTTAATTAGATGACATCTACTATTAATTCTCAAAAAGTGATACAATTTTCTAAGTTTTAATTAGATGACATCTACTATTAATTCTCAAAAAGTGATACAATTTTCTAAGTTTTAATTAGATGACATCTACTATTAATTCTCAAAAAGTGATACAATTTTCTAAGTTTTAATTAGATGACATCTACTATTAATTCTCAAAAAGTGATACAATTTTCTAAGTTTTAGTTAGATGACAAGTACTATTATGCATATCTATTGTGCAACATGTCAAGCCCTAAACATTAAAGATATGATTAACGAACGTGTTCATGATCTCTTAGTAATATAAGATATTTAAATATAATACTCCTTCATCCATATTCGTTTTTGTCGTAATTTGTAGTACATTGTTTAAAATCTATTGGCCGAGTGATTCCACAAACAAATTAAAAAGGGACAACATTCTTGTTTTCACTATTTCACGATAGGTCATTGCATGTTCCAACTCTTGAATGAGATGGAAGAATCCCTTGAATTAATGCAAAATTAATTTGTTTTTAAATACATTTGTTGTAACTTTCACCATTTACACCTTTAATAACGGAATGTGTGAAATTAGTAGTAGTAGAACATTTATAAAAGGTATTTAGTTCAGTTGCACTAATGGTTGTAACTGGCAATATATACCTTCGAATCGGATTAGAAAACTTAAGAGAATTTACGTGGGGGCTAATTTAAAACAACACAATATGCAGGTTACAATTTTGCTACTTTTTGTTGTAGTTGGGATTTTGATGAGATCAATAAGTTCAGAGAGGTACATTGTTGGAGAAGGCTATGGTTGGCGTCCTGCCCCTTATCCTTCTTACTACCAAGATTGGGCTAAAACTGTAAAGCTTAAAGCTGGAGATGAATTAGGTAAAACTTTAACTTCACCTACCCTTTTTTTAAAGGAAAAAATATATGATGTAACTTATACACCGTATTTACCATATATAAATACGCTTTGAAATAATTACAATTTGTAGCTACTCTTTGTATTTTGTAGCAAAATTCCAACGATAAATACAGTGTATGAAGTCACATACAACGATACATGTAATCATGTATCACTGTATTTTAGTGTATCGTTTGCATTGATACAACCATTTAGAGCGAATTGGAGTCACATATAGTGATATAGTAACTGTGTGCATCACTATATTCTAGTGCATTGTATGCGTTAATACAGCCATTTAGAGCGAATGAATACAAGTGACACAAGCTGGTAATAATTTAAAAGTAGATACAAATGGTAATTAGGCAAACTATAGTTACATGTGGTAATTAGGCAATTGTAGTGCTTTATGAAAAATCCTCTTTATTTTTTTTAATATATGTAATGTCCGAGCTGACTAAGTACTTATTTTAAGAATTTGAATACGATCATATCTGGAACTTTAATTTATTGATGACTAATTATCCACTATGTTTTTTAGAATTTAGATTCGAAAAACCTGACGATTTGCTGGAGATTGGAAAATTCGACTACTATGCTTGCACTTCCAACACTGTTTTCAGGCCGTATAGAGAGAGTCCAGCAACAGCATTCTTACTGGCACCTGGAGAATATTACTTCAAATCCAGCAACAATACCAATTGCATAAATGGCCAGAAACTTTATGTAAATGCAGAAGCTCCAAATGAAGATAATGATAAGTTTGACAACAAGAGCTAGAAAGAAAGGTGGAATCATGAGGATAAAGACAAGGATCACTAGATTACTTTGTTTTAGATTAGACAATAACTAGAAGCATATCNCAGAAGCGGATCTAGGGTTTAGGGTCAGTGAATTCAGAATGAATGTGATATTACATGCACTCATTTTAATTATAGTTTTTCTGTAAGCAAATAAGTTCACTTGAACTCACATGACTCGAGCTATACTTAGAGGTGCTTCTACTAGTTTCAGATGGCGATAGAATTGCTATGGCAACACTTTCGCCGTCTTGTTTTCAGTCAAACAGTTGTTCTTTGTGCTGCACCTTTAGATTCGTGAAATCTTGAACTTTTTATATTACTTTTGTTGTTGCTAAAAGTAATTGTGCTTCACCTGTTTCAGATTTGTGCTTGCTTTAAACCTCTATGGCACTCACTTAGTTCACTTTTTATTGATTGGTATACTCAATTAGTGAAAACAACAAACACAATATTACACCATTCACGATGTTTATACCTAAATAGTAATCCGTATCGACATAAATCTCGTCATGAATAGCCATAAGCAACAACAGGGTTCCAACCATACATGTACAAAAGTGAAAAACACAACGCTGATTTCCATAAGATTTAGTCCAACATCAGTTGTTCAAATTGGCATTTCACTGAGGTTGTAATTATCTATCGCCCATGAGAAATCGAGTGTTTACATCTCTCTTAGATTAAATGAAATGCCGATATATCATATCTATTACCAGAAATTTATTTTCTTGCTTGTCCAATACGAATATTAACCAAAAAAATAAGTGAACAAATAACTAAGTACAAACAAATACATATCTAGGCCTAGAAAAGGATAAACTTTCTGCTCTTCTGGCCAAAATTCAGCCTTCATTGTGTAAGCAACATCAGCACCATGTTCATCAGACTGGATTTCCAGCTAGAGTCGTAATGTGTCTATTCAAGTGCACAGTTGGTGAAGCCCTGACAATCTTTCTAGCTACTTCCAAAAAACTGTGACCAAAATAGAGCAAAAAGTTGTAATATAACATAAACATAAACATGACTTCAATCTATTAAGAAGTTTCAAACCTACACTTACGTGTAAGCGCATCTCTTTCCAACAATGCAGAAATCACGGTCCTTGCAAGATACCGTCACCAACCAAATCTATGTAAGTTTCTATATAATTGAACCTTGGGCTATGCTCCCATCAATGCCTCGAGGATTCAGAAGCTACCTCACGCCCAACAACTCCTTCAGATGCTCTTTACCACTGCATACAGAAACCATTCAACCACCTCATTAACAATCATAAGCACACGACGTAAGGAAGAAATCTGTGGGGTGAGCTTGAGTTACTCTTTTTTAGTTCATAATGCAAGAATCCTGGGATAAGGAAAAACCTATTTCTTCCTGCAAGAATCCTAGGATAAAGAAAAACCTATTTCTTCCCTTTTACTACACTACAGGAGACCCCAGTAGTTTACTCAGGACAATTCAAGGCCATTTATCTTATCATTGGATGCACAAATCCCCTCTTTGCCAAAGGAATGCTTACTGAAGGGAAATGTTAACTACTTGATTAAAAAAGAAATAGTCAGTCCTTGGACTATAATATGTCACATCGGCTATTAGTTTCACAGCAGATGGAGTTTCTATAATATGTCATAACTTGCTAAGACCAAAATATTAGAGTTGTCTCTATCCAGATCTACTAATGGAAACCAAAAGACTAGTTGCAGCAGCATAGAGAGGCAAAATTCTTTTTTCCCTGCGCTGAAACTAAAGAGGATTCTGAATCATGTCCACTAAAGATCAATTCAGAAGGTTGATATTGATAATCCTCTATTATAATATTGTTCTAATTCTATCTATTATCCTCTGTCCTTCATCAATTTACACTAAAGTTGCCGTAACTGCTCAAGTCCTTTTACCATATAATGCCATAAGGCCCATAACATCACTTTTATGAAGCGAGCTCAACAGGTCATATTTTGCTAATTGGTATTTTGCTTTTGGAAAATGTTCTTTTTTCTCTTTCTTTACTTCTTCTAAAGCGAGGCGGCCACATTTTACAGTTCTGGCAATATTCTATAATTTACTAAGGACGGATAGAAGTACAGAAAAATTCTGTTAGAATAAAAGCAATTTGAGGTTCGGGCCACAGGATTCAACTGCAGCAGCCTTCTGATCGCAAGACTTGTGAAGTATAAGATTTATAAATTCCTTTTTTTAATGAAAAGTAGAAAATTTGATTACAAATAAGCTTATCAGATTCAAGCAGCTTCCATCCTCATGATATTTTACCTTTTATGTTGAAATAAAAAACACTATATAATGTGTAGAGGTAACATTAATTTATAAAGAGACTAGCAGACTCAGAAGTACCTGTCCGGAAATGAAGGAATTATCTCTTCAAGAACATGTAGCATTAAGGAGTTAGTGGTCTCATCAGAGGAGCTTCCCCTGTCCTTGAGAACTGTAAAGAAATTAGTAAAGACCAGCCTTCAAAAATACAAAAATTTCAAACTTTCAAGGATTGGAAGCAAGAGAACCAGTGTAGGGGACCATATTTTGGTAAGGTTCATATTTCAAAGCTCCATCAGAGGATTTTGAATCATGTCACAATAATAGCAAATTCACATTATGAAACTTTGCTGACAATCACTCAAGCTATCTAAAACCATCTATAACTTTCAAGTGTCCAGGGATTTAGCAATAGCAAAGTAACTTGGAGGAATTTACGGCGCAATTCTCTTGTAGATATTACAAAGGTTAGGATCCAGCAACATCAACGTACCATTGCAGTATCAATCTCTCACTCACTTAAGCATATTATCTTCAGATAATAAACAACCATTCTACTCCCTGCTTGGTTTTCATTTCTGCCTTGTTTTATTCTAAATCTCAATTTTACTATGCGTCTGTCCTATTCATTCTATTTCTTTTTTTAAGAGCCTCTCTGTGTTCATCTTCCCTTTTTCTTACTGAAACACACTTTTCAACAGGTTCTTTGACTTCTCATACAATGTAGAGTCTGCCACCTCAAAAGCATCGCATAAGTGATATCAATTTCTCACTCACTTAAGCATATTATCTTCAGATAATAAACAACCACTCTACTCCCTGCTTGGTTTTCGTTTCTGCCTTGTTTTATTCTAAATCTCAATTTTACTATGCGTCTGTCCTATTCATTCTATTTCTTTTTTTAAGAGCCTCTCTATGTTCATCTTCCCTTTTTCTTACTGAAACACACTTTTCGACAGGTTCTTTGACTTCTCATACAATGTAGAGTCTGCCACCTCAAAAGCATCACATAAGTGACATCCCACACATTCTTGACAGCATTCAGAAGTCAAAATAGGAAGATAAATTGACCTGAAGAAACAGAATACCGAAAAGATAAAACAGCAATCAGAACAAATTGCAGTATCACCAACAAGATATGTAAGAATCCTTTTTTATCTCAGCAGATATAATTCCTTTTTCTTTTTTGCCTTTTTATCCTAGTCATTCAGGTACAAGGTTCAAATCCCACCAAAAGCCCTCCTTTCTTATATCTTTTCCTCTGCCACTATTTCCTACCCCAACAACATCTCAATCCTAATATATTTGGGTCAGCAAAAGAAGAATAAAGAAAAGAAAAAGGGAACAAAATAAATCTAAAGTGCTCAACCTAAAATCTCATTTCATTTTGTACTATTCAGGACACCTTTTTAATAGCAATCCTACAGAATACCCACTCATTGCCATACCAATGAGATGAAGCATCAATAAAACATGCAATCCTACGCATAATAATTGTTTCCCTTTTCTACTTGCACTAGGTCTTTCCCCTAGACTGTGTTTCCAAAGGCATTTTCAGGCATGTTTAACTGCCTTTGAGAAAGAGTTCAACCGAGCCGAGCCAAGATAGAAAACTTTTCATGCTACGTCTGAGTAGGCTCATATAGTGCATAATCCCCCCAGATAATCTTTAAAGGTGTGACTTGTTGGTCAGAGCAAGATTAAACAGTTGAGATCTCAACTTTCACAGGATAAGATATTCAGAACAGCCACTTCACTAGGTAGGCATAGTGCTTCTCGTAACTCAAAATGCAGGTATACTAAACCTTACGAGAGTTTTCCATGCACGATGTTCCTTAAGTGACACCTTTGAAATTTAAATGCCCATGGAGTGCTGTTTAGACATGGAAAATATAAAAAGCAAAGGCAGGAAGGTAGAATCTGTCTAAAACAATCAAAAGATATTATCTTTTTTCAGTGACTACCCAATTGTTTAGACTCAGAAGCAGCATAAGAAGAGTTCTGTGTTCAGATACCTTCAAAATTGTTGGGATCTGAAGTATTGCCTTGGAGATATGATACATCATCATCAGATAACTGTAGCCCATCCAACTGAGCAAACTTATTCAACATGCAGCCGACAAGACTGTAAGCAACCATACTAGTATCATCAGAAGCTTCCTGAATAAGAAGATACTGATTTCTACTCAAGTTGTTCCTGCGAGGCAATGCATTTTTTTCTTCTGAACACTCTTCCGATGTATATCTTGGTGGCCTGCATCCTAGATGCCATGCAGCTTCTTTTTGCTCCATATCGTTCCTGTCTGATTCTTTATTAGGCGAGAAAGGTGTAGAAAATTTATTTTGATCTCTGGTGGACATAGATGGGCACAAATCCTTTCCTCCGTGCTGGCCCATGCTTCTAAAATGGTAATCTTTTCCACTCCTACTCTTAGCACCTTCAAAACTTTTTGATTCTAAGAATGACAATGAATTGTCAAACCAATTGGAATGAACTGAATCTACTTCATCGGTATACATTGACTCAAGTTTGACGTTCAACTTGTGTTTGGGTGAAAGCGGAGAGGATAAAGACTTGGAGTCACTTTGGTTTAACTCACCCACACTTTCTAATTGGCTGTATGAGACATTAGAATCAGACCTAAAATTTCGAGGATGATCAGAAAGATTCTCATCTTCATCACCAGCTTCAAAATAAGTTTCCTCTATGTTCTCCATGTATGCATTAGCAAAGTCTTCACTGACATCACTTTCAGCAAGTAAATCCCAAACAATTTGTTTTATCTGAGCACTAATATTCAGCACACATTCTACTTCCTCTTCAACCTCCTTATTTGAGTAGGTTTTCTTAGATGCATGCCTAGATGTTTTGTTAATAATAGCAAGACTTTCTAGTAAACTTTCAGGTATAGACTGCAAGTCGCTGCATTCGAGAAGATACTCAGTCAACAGTTTCCTCACTTTCACACGCAAACGAACACTTTCTTTGGCAGCTCTAGCATTCGAATCCAGTACAAGCGGCAAACTTCCCAGCTCCGCAAAACTTATTTTTCTTTTATCATCTAGCATCCTGATTGCTTTTGCTATATCATTCTGCAATGCTTCTATATCTGGTGAAAGTTTTTGGAACACCATCTGAGAGGGACAATCAGTTTTTGGCTTTAACATTAAGGTTGCCACGGACAAAGCCTTGGCCAGGGGTTCTGGTGGCTCATCTCCTTCTTCATAGTCTGATAGTATTTCCAAAGATGTTCTCCTGATTTGTTTAACAAAATTTCCCTTATTCCACCCTATTCGTTTAGACTGCATCTTAGGGATGTATCCAGAGACATCCCTGAGATTTCTAAGCATTTTACTCAAAGTTAGAAGAGACAGCTCCTCAAGTCTATCCAGTATATAAATAGCAGCACTGCGAAAGGATTCGGAGGTAGAACAAAGAACCCTATGGTTAACATGGAAGTTTTGAGGATCATTGAGGAGTTGAGAAATTCTTTTAATCCGACTTCGACTGGAATCATCATGGTTATGGAGAATTTTGGGAAGAAATTGCTTTATTATCCTTCTCGTTTGCCAATTGGTTTTCTCAAAAGTAATTGAACCACCAGTTACTGTCTCCGCAATACAGCATAACCCCTTGTTGTTCATCTTATCAAGCAGGGAATATATGCATCCCAAATTCTCAGCTGAATTAAAGAGCAATATGGCTGGAGCATCAGGACATGTCCTTTCATCCTTATGCACTCCAAATGCCTTTGCAACAGAAGTTCTAATATTTTCATAATATAACTGCAATTAAGACACACAGAAACTATATCAGCTTAGTGGGGGAAAATAAAATTGCAACTTAGTTTAACAAAAAGCAGATAATATTCAATACAAAAAGAAACAGGTTTTTTTAAAAATAAAGAGTGCATGAGTCTTTTGCTTCAGAAGTTACATATAAGCAGTATCATTTGGATTTTAAAAACAATAAACTGAGGAATGTTTTATCTACTTCGACTTGCAGAATGCCATTACATCAGCAAGCATTAGAAAGAACACTTACATCATCTTCTCTAATCAATGATTCAGGTAAAGTCCTGCAGATACAGAATCAAAGAGTAGACGTTGAGTTAGAAGTGCAAAAAGTTTACTAGGAAAACAACAAGCAACCATTGCTAATGCAATATGAATCCAGATAACAAAATACATAAACAAGAGCAGCCCACATAATAAGGTACTGTATACTTATAATCAGGATGTAGAAAGAGTATAGGAAACAACTTTCGTAAAAAAATTACAATGCTTTAAAAGAGCCAAGGAGACTGATATCACAAAGTGTGGCCTACGTATTGGATCTATTTCTGTGTTTAAACAAGCACACTTGGAAAAATAGATTTCAAAGTTTAGCAACAAGGAGCGTAACCTGTGGATGGTTTTTACTTACTACAAAATTAGATGGAGGTCACTGATCACAAATATGAATATGGTGTTGATACTCTCTGATGGAACTCAGAAAGAAACGATGGTTTATACAGTTGTTCGATGTGGAGGGGCATTAGGAGAGGACTGGATAAGAGATTGGGTGTCATCACTTATGTCCATCTCATCCATCAACCTTGGGGACTGCTAATTTCTGGGTCAAATCATACTACAATCAACACTAAGAGAATATAGGATTAAGGATCCTTGAAAGGCATGAGGCAATGCATATCACATTTAAATTCTGTAGTTTTTGCATGGGAAGATAGTCGATACATAAGTAATCACATCTTACTGGTGATTGTCTGTGAAGTATTATGGTTAGTAACTGTTGTGTTCTTTTCAGAGGGGCCGAAGACTGTTAACCATCTGCTATTGCATTGTCCCTGAGCTTTAGTGTGCTGGTCACTTGTGTTGTGCTGGCAGGGTTCAATGATATATGCCCCCCATCAGTCGAGAAGTTGTTAATGGCTGGAAAATGCACTTCAAAGAAAAATATATACGAATATGGAGAAACATCTCCGCAAGTCTCTTTTAGTGCATCTCAATGGAAAGGAACAATCAGCATTTAAGAGAAATTGAAACACAACTCACTTCACTTCTATCAGAACTCATGGGAACGCCTTTTCATTGATATTATAAGTGATTGTAGAATTCTGATATTTGCGTTTTTTTCTTGGGTGGTATTTGTGTATTTTTGGAAAGTATCCTTGCAATTGGCTTTTTCTGTAAGTGCCTTTTTCCTTGGACTTGCCTGAGCTGTACAACAACAACAAACCCAGTGTAATCCCACAAGTGGGGTCTAGGGAGGGTAGTGTGTACGCAGACCTTACCCCTACCTTCAAGAAGGCCGAAAAAATGCAATCCACATTTGTGTACGCTGATAATAAGGACCATGTACACTTATTATATTTCATCTCATTTACAAATATCAAGTTTCAGAATTTCATTAGCTACATAAACCGTCATTAAAATGTGAATCATTACATTATGGTCTGCAAACATATAAAATGAAGAATCACAACACTCAGTAAGTGTTCTTTAACATGACTTCCCTGACTTAGCCAAAGCTAATAAAAGAAGAAGGAAATTTCGCAAAGGGATAGTCCAGAAAACTATAATGAAATTCACAGACAATTGCATCCCAATACCTGTGCATTCAATTGAGCAGTCAATTTGCAAATATTCAATGACGAAAGCAGTGCAATGGACTAACATGCCTTTTCTAGGGAGAGATGCTATTACTAACTAGACAGTCATAATCCAAGAAGTGGAAAAGAAGAGTTTTTACAAAAAGATATAGAAAATTTAAAGACAAAAGAACGTTCTCACATATCACCGTGAGGTTTGAGTCTTTCCATCTTTTTTCGCTCTCGTTCCGATAAATGCAAGTCCATTAACCACCTGCAGAATGAATTTCTTATCTCTAACATAATACTCAAAATCAATTATTCCCATTTCCCACAAACACTTCATACATTACTGATACAAAGAAAATTACGCCCTCCGTCTAATTTAATACAACAGTCGTCCCATTTTAGAACGTCCTAAAATGTTTGACACCATCTTATTTCTACACAAACTTACATTGAATTCATTTAATTATTCAACTTCTTTTTATAAGTAAATTTTATTTCACTTGTATAAACTGAACAAAGGCTGCGCAAGTAGTTAAGAAACTATTCATACTTTATAATGTTTTGTCTATCAAACTAATTTTTCAATTCTTACTTGAATATTTTCTTCCACGGCAAGTGAAACACAATTATATAAAATGAGAAAGAGGGACTATTAAACAAAACGAAAGTTACACTCATTAATTGGCAACGTTCATCAATGTGCTAACAGTATCTAAATCCAGGTCAATGAAGTGGGTTGAGAACCATGAGGTCTCAAGTTCAAATAACAATGGAGGCAAAAGCACTAGGTGATTTCTTCTCATATGTCCAAGTCTTGGTAAACAGAGTTACCTGACACCGGTACTGGTGGGGGTAGCAGGTACCCGATGGGATAGTTGAGGTGCGTGCAAGCTTGGCCTAGACACCATCATCATCCCAAAAAGAAATTCGATCGTAGCATTGTATTATATTTAAAACGAAGAGTTAAATTAAGGTCAGAAGATAAAAATAAAAGGTTTACCTTCTTTTGAGCCTTAGGTCTTTATCTTGCTGCTTCAATTGAGATAGCAACACCCTACAATCCTCCGTATAGCCCTCCATTTTCTCCTATTCTTTCACAACAGATAAGAAAATATAGGGTTTCAGGCTTTAAGTGAGTCTTCAATTCTACGTGAAACTGAAAATCACTTAAGAAAGGATTTTTTTTGCGTGTAAAATTAGTTATCTCAAGAGCGATGGAACCAGGAGCAGAGGGGGATGCAGCATCAGTCATAGCCAATGTTAGTGAACATTATATCATGTAATGTTAGGGGACTTAATAGAGTTAGAAAAAGGAGATTGATTTAAAGTTTGATACTCAGTTGGAAGACAGATTTTTTGTTTCCAAGAATCTAAAATAGAAGGGGATATCAAGGAGATAGTAAAAGAATTATGGGGTAATAGATGGGTGAAATTTGCACAACTAGAAGCTAGTGGGACTAGAGGGGATATTGTAGTAATGTGGGATGGTAGAATATGGAAGGGGGGAAATTTGTTGTGTGGGAGCACATACAATTACTCGTAAATTCTTAGGTAAGACTCAGGAATACACATGGCATCTTTCAGCCGTGTATGCTCCTAATGACAGAAGAGAAAGGGAGGAAGTTTGGTGGGAGCTGGCAGGTGCAAGAGGCCTCTATAATGGGCCTTGGGTGGTATGTGGGGACTTCAATACTGTAAGGTTCCCATCAGAGAAGAAGAATTGCTCCAGATTCACAAGAGCTATGACTGAGTTCTCTAATTTTATTGAAGACATGGAACTGGTAGACACCCAACTATCAGGAGGTGAATACACATGGAGAAAAGGTGACAGGCATGTAATAGCAGCTAGACTGGATAGGTTCTTGATTTCTGCTGACTGGAATGAAGATTTTAGAAACATAAAACAATCATTGCTTCATAGAGTTACTTCAGACCATTCACCACTGATGCTTCAATGTGGTAGTTGGGATCAAGTCAAATCATACTTTAAGTTTGAAAACTGGTGGCTGCAGACTGAAGGATTCAAAGATAGAGTACAAGAATGGTGGAACTCTTTTACTTGTGAAGGAAGGCCTGATTTCATCCTTACTTTCAAACTTAAAGCCTTGAAGGCAAAGCTNAAGCCTTGAAGGCAAAACTCAAAGAATGGAGCAAAACTCTCCAAGGCAACTTAGTACTGCAGAAAGCAAGTATCCTCAGCCAACTTGCAGAGCTGGAAGAGTTACATGACCAAAGGAGCTTGACAGAGGAGAAAATATTTACAAAAACCTCCTTGTCCATGGAGTTTGAGGTGATTGCAAACCATGGAAAAGTGGCATGGAGACAGAGGTCCAGGGCCCTCTTGTTAAAAGAGGGAGACAGGAACACTAAGTTCTTCCACATAACAGCTAATGCTCACAGGAGATATAACAATATTGATCAGTTGATAGTAGAAGGGGAATCTCTGCAGAATCCAGAAGATATCAAGTGGGAGGTTATCAGATTTTACCAAAACCTCTACACAAAAGAAGAGGAGTGGAGGCCACTAGGTTCCATCAGAAGAAACAGTCAAATGTGTTATTACACCAGAAGATAATTTAATGCTACAGAGCCCCTTTGAAGAACAGGAGATATGGGAAAGTGTAAAGGCATGTGCTGCAGACAAAGCACCTGGCCCAGATGGATTCTCAATGGCCTTCTTCACTAATTGATGGGAAGTGGTTAAAAGGGAAGTTGTAGCAGTTGTTCAGAACTTCTATGACCAAGAAATATTTGAAAGGAGCCTTAATGCTATTTTTGTGGCTTTAATTCCTAAGAAGGTGGGGGCCAAAGAACTAAGAGACTTCAGGCCTATCAATTTGATAGGCAGTATATACAAGATTATATCCAAGTTATTGACTGAGAGGCTCAAGAAGGTGGTCAACAAACTGGTGGATTCTCAACAGATGGCATTCATAAGAGGCAGACAGATCATGGATGTTGTCCTAATTGCCAATGAATGCATTGACACAAGGAAAATAAGCAAGGAACCTGGGATATTATGCAAGCTGGATATAGAGAAAACATATGATCATTTGAACTGGAATTTTCTTCTGGAAACCCTCCGGAAAATGGGCTTTGGTGGAAGATGGATTAACTGGATAAAATTCTGCATTTCTACTGTGAGCTTCTCAGTACTCATTAATGGAGCACCAGCTGATTTTTTTCCTTCTCAGAGGGGTCTGAGACAAGGGGATCCCCTTTCCTATTCATTATTGCCATGGAAGGACTGAATGATATGTTGAAAAGAGCTCAGACAAATAATTGGATAAGGGGCTTCAATGTGAATTGTAGGGCTGATAGCAACATGATGATTTCCCACTTGCAGTATGCTGATGACACCTTGGTGTTTTGTGAAGCTGATAGAGAACAACTGAAAGTATTAAGGGTGATCTTCATTCTTTTTGAAGCCGCTTCTGGGCTACACATAAATTGGCACAAAAGATTCGTTTATCCGGTCAATGAGTTAATGGAGCTACAAAGTCTTGCTGATATTCTTGGTGGGAATGTAGGTGAATTACCTACTATATACGTGGGGATGCCATTGGGAGCTAAGAACAAATCAAAAGGAATTTGGAATGGTGTGCTGGAGAAATGTGAAAAGAAGCTAGCAAATTGGAAGAATCAATATCTATCTATGGGGGGTTGACTAATCTTGATTAACTCTGTACTTGATGCCATGCCTACTTATATGATGTCTCTATTCCCAATTCCAGCCAATGTAGTGAAAAGAATTGATGCATTAAGAAGAAATTTCTTATGGGAAGGCAACAGTGAGAAAAAGAAGTTCCATCTGGTTATATGGAATTCTCTTACTACTAGCAAGAAGACAGGGGGATTGGGAATCAAAAACCTGAGAGTCCAGAATCATAGTTTGATGATGAAGTGGCTATGGAAATTTGTGGCAGATGAGCAATCACTGTGGAGAGAGGTCGTTAGGGAGAAGTATGGAATGGAAGGAAAATAGACAACCAAACCAGTAAGAAGACCATATGGTGTCAGTTTGTGGAAGTCAGTCCAAATTCAAAGTAGGAAATGGTATGAAGATTTCCTTGTGGGATGACAATTGGCTAGGCCAAGGCCCTTTGAAGCTACTTTTTCCTGACATATATACTTTGAATCAACAACAACAAGCAACACTAGATGAGGCATGGACTAATCAAGGTTGTAATCTTACCTTCAGAAGACTTCTAAATGATTGGAGATTGACAGAGTAATAGAGTTTTACAATACTTTGGAGCTATTCAGTGGAATCAACTCTAATCAAGATCTCATCATATGGCAAGGGAATAGGCAGGGGAAGTTTTCTGTTAAGTCTGCTTATAAGGAATTCAACCTATCTAATAACCAGGTTGGATGTTGGCCATGGAAGATGATATGGAAAGTAAAAATCCCTTATAAGGTTGCTTGCTTTACATGGTTACTAGCAAAAGAAGCGGTTCTAACACAAGATAATCTAATCAAGAAAGGTTTTCACTTGTGCTCTAGATATTACTTATGTGGAGAGGAGGAGGAGACAATTAGTCATCTCTTTTTGCATTGCAAATTCACTGTTCAAATATGGAGGATTTTTATCAGTTTTAGGGAAATTTTATGGGCAATGCCGGGATGAATTCTTGATGTTCTAGCTTGCTGGAATAAAGAGGGCTACCTTTCTAGTTATAAAGAGAGATGGAGAATTGTCCCAGCTTGCATATGCTGGACAATCTGGGAAGAGAGAAATCAGAGATGTTTTGAAGACAAATCCAGTAACATCCAGAAGACGAAGATGAAATGTCTAGCTCTTTTCTATTTTTGGTGTAAAGGAAAGTTTTTGGAGGATCATGAATCCATTTTTGGTGTGCTAGATTCCTTGTGAGAAGACCAAGGATTATAAGTGTTTTAATTTTCTTTTTGGGCACTCATTTTGTAATTATGGGTGACTTCACAAAGTTAGTGAAGTCTATATATTAATATACAAATATGTTACCTTCTCAAAAAAAAAAAATAGTTATTTAAAATTTTCAAAAAATTTATCATTTCTACTCAAACTCAATTTAGTATAACCATTATCACACAAAAATCAAATAAGACAGAATATTTATTTTTTAAAAACACAAGGAAGTAGTTATAAGCTTTGTTAAAAAATGGGAACAAACCCGGCAGTATAATCCAAAATTCATTAAGATT